TTTTCGCGCAATAATGTGAAGAATGACAATGAAAATGCAACTAACATGATGGCATACAACGATAAACCCTTTAAGAAGCTGCATGTAACCGTCTTTAACATGACGTAGTGTGTGCTAAACGACCAAAATGGTAGCGAACCGGCCAGTAAGAATATTTCGATGGCTATCAATAGAATCGATGATGCGGCAACTGTTCGACGCCATTCTTCAACGCAAAGATCAAACAAAATCAACACCACCAGCACAATTAAAGTACATTCGAGATAGTTTTCTAATCCTTTTAAATAACTACGCGGTGCAAATATAAACTGTGATATTTCTCGTAGCGTAATATAAACAGTCAGCACGATGGTCACGCTCCGCATCAAATGTTTTAATTCATACGAACTGGGTTCTTCGTTATAACACACCAAAATATACGAAACTGTGCTTATGGCGAACAATGAACACAGCAAAAAATTCACATAGAAAAAGAATGCCAAACGATTCCATTTCAAATACAAGAACGAACATATCAACGGGTGTCTGATTAGGTGACGAAGCTCTGTTGAATCAGCGATATATCTATTGGGGAAATTGAAATATATTAAGTAACCCAAACGAGTTCAAGAAAAAAAGAAAAAAATGTACTTACTCGATGGGTTCCATTTCGTCTGGGCACACGTCCATCACTTTTTTACATTCATCGGTTGATGTTTCGCGTAAAGTTTCGCGCGTTTCAATCGGAACCAGATTGGTGTAATCAAATTGAATGGCAAAATTGTCGTCTCCCGGTCGTGCTTGATTGGTGGTGATGCAATTGTCAAAGTGTTTTTCAAGCACTTTTGGGTTGATGCTTGAAATAGTAAAGCGATTGAATTTATTTTTCACACCAATGTAGGCGCCACGTCGCAATAATTCCAAAATAGCATCTGCATTATTGTATTTAACGGCATAATGAAGTGCAGAACAATCGTTGATGTCAGTTTGATTGATATCGATATTCGGGTGATTTAATAGTATTTCAAAACACTTTGTATAGTTGCATTTTTGTGTTACACGTTCGCCGATGTTCTGTACAACGATGGACAGCAAGGCACCCGATTGGTTTAAATTTAATTTTGGTGATTTCGTCAACACCTCCAAGACCTTCCAGTGGCCAAAGTGGCAAGCGGATTTAATTGGATTTAATGGATCATATGGAGTGTCTACCGGTAGATTAACATCGGCGCCCAGACGTAACATTCGCTCCACTGCCGATGTCAAACCTTTTTTGCAAGCCAATATCATGAGCGTTTCGTTGTTATCAATTGCATGAAATAGTTCGGGTAGCTGATCTGGTTTATATTCGGCGATGTAATTAAGTCCTTGCAAAAATTCTGTTTCATTTTCATTGAGAAGGCTCACCATCAGTCGATTGAAATCAAAACTTTGCGCAATACTTTGATCACGAATCGGTGGTAAGTCCAAGTCTGGCATCAATTTTGTAAGCGTAGCTCGTGCTTCGCCTTTGCGTGGTGTGTCGATGTCAACATCACCATTTTCAAGCAAATACGTCACGATCAGCTCTTTATTCGGTGCACTCAAGTGTTTATTCTTTAAAATGGTGAGAATTGGTGTCATCTCACGCCTGTTACCAATATTTAAATCAGCAAAATGCTTCAGTAATAATTTCATGCAACGGTATACAGTACTGAAATTTGCATCGGAAATTTGTTCGGCGAGATAGTTAATCGGAGTTAAAGTAGAGTATTTTGCATCGACATTTACACCGGGATCGCTCAATAAAGCGGCGAGGTTATCGTAGTTGTGCGATTCAACGCAAAAGTTTATCGGCCGTTTTTGATGCTCCGGATTGAGCTAGAGAAAAAAAAACAAAAGAAAAGAAATTAATTTTTAAAAAGGTAGATACATTTTGGGTCATTCATTATGACAAAAAGGTCTTCTTAATTTAAATGTTATTATAGCCTATTAATAATAGGCATATTTTACAATCTTAAAACATACTCTAATGAGCAGGGCCAATGAAAATATTTTCACTTAATTAAGAAAGGTTTTGTATGTATTTTCGGAAATGAACAACGTTTCGCCATAGTTGATTTTTTTGGAAATACTTTGATAATTTTCATATCCAAAGTGACATTTTTTATCTTTTTGAACGAAAAATAAATGAAGCGACTCGAATTGATATTGTTCTGATAATAAATGTGTCGGAATTTGTGCTATTATTACCCAGTGTAATCAAAATTTTGAACGAATTTTTTTTTATATCAAGTCGATTCCGAGAAAGCAATGTCAATATTTATTACGAAACACTGTGCGATAATCATCGACCATTTAGGTATGAAAACATTTTGTTTTTTGAAATCAATTAAAACGTTATTGGGTTTTATGTTTCCATATTAACTAATTGAGCGTATAATATTGAAACAAATTTTCGTTCATAAGTCAAATCGGATAATTCGGATTTAAAATTTCACGCACATATTTTCGTTGACCCTACTAATGATGATTTCCATGACATTCAAATAAATATAAATAAAATTACCTTATTAACATCGCAGCCGACTTGAATGCATTCGAGAATGAATTCGGCGCAACCGGGAGTTTGACAGGCCATTTCAAAGATCGACATTTGTGATTCAGTATCATATTTTTCCACGTCCGATGGCGATTGAAGTATGCGTCGGAATGCATTGATGTCTCTTTTCGAAAGTGCACTGGCCAGACTCTATGAAATAACAATTCAAAAATCAAAACACGCGACAATAAAATGCATTTGATTTTCCCATGAAAAATTCTTACCGCAGTGTCACCATAGCACATCAACAGGTGTTCCTCCATTGCTTACGCACACGTTCTTGCTATACCGTTTGGAATGATTGCCGTTTCTATATACACAAAGTGAAATCTGCAAAAATTCAAATGACTAATCAATATGATTCCGTGAATGAATACTCAATGGTAAGTGGGTTGCATAAAATTTGAATGCAAAGTCTGAGTCACACGCATTTCCCCCGCGCGCACGCACACAAAA